GTTATGATCCACACTTGCCTTTGCATAGTCAATAAAGTGCAAATAGACTTTTTTTTTAAATTTCCTGCTTCCAGGAAAGATCTATCTTACATTAGCAATGATATCCTTAGTGCCATGGTATATAAGGAGCAGTGGTAACATGTGGAAGGCTGATACTGGGCTTCTACCTGCTTCATAAAGAGGAACTGTCCCCACCAAGAACATCTATAGCACCAAACAAATAGATACATGGTCATACATGACACCTCCCCATGCTCCAGCTTCTATTTCTTTGAATCATTGGGTCCAATGTTTATTGCAAATTGACTCATAGGCTTTACTCATAATTGTGGGGTTTAATAAGGAAATAGGTTGGGATGTGTGGGAGACAAAGGATATCACATACTTAACGAACAGCAGCTCCAAGCCAATCTGACAGCAAGACATAATTCCTCAATTAGTTCAGAAAGATTCTCAGTAAACAAGTGAAGTCTAGGTTCAGTTCAACAGCACAAATAAACTTCTGGTTTCCTCAGTTGTCCAGCAAGCTTTGTCTCATAGCAGTCTAAGTCATCTTTTCATTCAGTCATCCAGAAACAAAATCTTTAACTTTGGCTCCATCTCCAGGGTTCTGTCAGGCTACACCTTGCCACAGTCTCTTTATAGTCTCCTACCACAGTATGGAAAGTGCTCTCTTCTACTGGTTCCACAGTTATGATGACTTGCAAGACCATGTGTCTGCAGTTGAGGGAGCCAGAGCACATGCCCTCAGTGGGGGATAGCACAATGGGTAGAAGAGCCATTTTTCAAAGTTTTAACACCATCCATGGCCTCTTCTAAACTCAGATTGAACTTCTGGCAGTTTCTTGTCAATGTACTATTCTAGCCATTTTTTTAGTATCTTCAGCAGTATTTTGCTTGCTTGTGATAGTAATGATTTTGTTCTACGTTTTCCGCATTCTGTGGGGTCACCTTTCTTGGGAAAATATGGATCATTTCCAGTCAGTCAGCTGTCCTCCAATTGCCTGGCACAGACTGGAGAGCATGTCCAGGGCTGCATCTGTTAGTTCAGCACCTTTGCAACACAGGCATCATCATTGACTGACTGATACTTGGTGGCTGTGCTTAAAGAGCATTGACCAGAATTCAAATCTAGGGTCTCCTAAATGGAAGGTGAGAATTCTGATGCATCAAATGCCTCAGTTAAGGAATGATCAATGACCATTGAGTCAATTCAGATGCATCACCACCCTCCAGCAGGTTTCAAATCTCTACAGGTGATTGCCTCATCATTTCTGACTGAGCCACTGTTGGATTCAAGCAACTATTTGATTAGCAGCCGTAAACCTGACCTATTACCCCTCTGGAGCTCCTTTTTCAATACAGATAGTGAAAAAGAAATCATGTACAGAATCAGAAAATTGGTCTTTTTTGAGAATTTTATAGGAAAATGAAAACTAAAACCTCAAACTCATTGCTATCAAGCAGAAATTGACTCACAGCTGACCTACTAGCAGGTTTCCAAAGCTCTAAATCCCCCAAAGGAAGCTGCTCATCTTTCTCCCCTGGGCCCCTGGTGGACATGCACTACCAGAGGAGCTTGGCCTTTGGGTTAACAGGGAAATTCTCTTAGGACAGTGCCCCCAGAGCTGTAGGTCAATTAAGAATATGATATTTCCCTACCTCACGGCAGACTTTGTTCTAATTTATATGATTTACACCTTAGGGGCATTTTAAACAGACACAGGTCTATTATTTTCATTATTACTATGCAGTCCTGATAGAGAAATCTTTTAGAACTCTAAAGGCAGAAGAAGAAAACCAGCTTCTCAAAAAGCAAGAGGGGGATTGAAACTAATGCTTTTGAATAAAATGTGCATAAGTGGTTGAATGAAAAATGAATTTGCTTTGTAAACTTTGACTCCAATCAAAATAAAAAACAAAAGACAGACATTCAAGTTTTCAAATTTCTCTGAAATGGCAGGAGAAAAATTAGATGTCCAGCGCCTTTAGAGGGAACCTCTTAAGTCTTATTCAGAGTTTTTCCAAGACACACAGATGTGTCAATTTTCTTCTTAGAAACCAGCTAAGCCTCTGAAATGGGTCAGTGTGCTTTAGGCTCTCAATGGTTTCCAGACTTGGTCTGTTAAGCACAGGAGCGATGGAGGGTCTTTCTGAGTCTTGCTCACACTGATGGGAATTTGGCAATCCAGGCAATTTTAGAATTGGCTTCTCTGTGGGATGCACTGGGTGCTATTTACAAAGCATTAGCTGTTCAGGTCAAACAACTCAAATTCTCAATAAGGGGCAGAGAGAGAGAATTACAGTGACCATGTTGCTGAAGAAAGTGAAATAGAAAGGGGTTTTTTATGGATTCCACAAACCCCCATTGCAAAGGAAAAATTTACAAACCTTTGATAGATAGAGACTTAGTGGCTGTTTGGCCACCCTCAGTATGACTTTATTGTTAGTAATTGCCAGTATTCAGAGGCGTTTTTGTTTGCTTTCTTCTATTAAGGGTAATGAAAACAAACACACACACCAACCCTGGACCTCATTGCTGTCCAGTTGGAAGAGATTCATATCCTGACCTTCTGGTGGGTTTTCGGGGTTCATAAATTATAGAGCAGCAGATTGCCCATATTTCTCCCACAGAGATGTCACTGGTGCACTTGAACAGCCAGGGAAGATATTCCTTTAGAGTAGTAGCTCTATAAGAACTATGACAGAAGTATCTAGAATTGTAGTCACTCATTGTGGTAACTCGTGATGTAAGCCTTCCTTCCTTAGGGATCTCTTTCTGAATCAGATCACATTCAATCCTTGATGTTGTTGTATGCCACTAAGTTGGAATTGACCCATAGCTGACTCTGACGAGTTTTGGGAGGCAGTCAATCTCATGGGAAGAGACTGTCCATCTTTTTCCTGTGGAGCAGCTGGTGGATTCAGACCTTGAACCTTTGACATTGTAGCCTAGCTTCTGCCATTAGGCCACCAGAGCTCCACAGACAATCTTTAGTAATGTTTATTACAATTTCAATCACAGAACGCTATGTGATAAATACAGTTGCATTTTTTTCAGTTCATATGAATATTAACAAAATTGATAAATTATCAGTTCTAATAATACTAGTGACTTAGCTGAAACTTTTTCCATTTTCCTTGCTCTTTTGATTGCGTCTTTATTCTCAAAAAGTCATTGAGACTGGATAAATTGTGTATACTGCACTGAAACAGATGAGGGACTGAATAATTTAAAAGCGATGTATGATACGGTATTATGGTTATCACAAGAGTCCACAATTAAGGTTGCATAGTGGAATGTACTTGGGGTGGTAGGAGGGGTGCGGGAGGATTGTGTACCAGGGAGGGAGTCTTTCTTTTACTTTTGAAAGAGAGGAGCGAACTGGGGGGGCGGGGGGAGAGGGCTGGGCGGGGAGAGAAGTGCAGCAATGAATGAATGGAAATCCAAATTCTCTGTAAATGTTCATGAAAATTATTTTAAAAACCCAAAATTTTAAAAAAAGTCATTGAGATATGTTCACAAACACTAATAACTACAATCTTATAGATAAAACATCAGAAATTTTAACAGACTCTGTGATTGTAATAGCGTTGGCAGCAATGAGAAAAAACAGGGTGTTGCTGGAAAATGTACCACGTGAATAATGAAACCGCATAATCAGAAGCATCACTGAAATTGGTTAAATAATAATGATTCTCACCAGAGTACGTCACAAGGTTCAAAAGTAAATTGGCCTGGAGTTTTAGCCTTGTAGCATATTACTATATGTGACTTGGCTTTTGAAATTTTATTTTTATTTCTATAACTACATGACTGTATTTACCAAAAAAATTACAAGTTTCTGCTGAAAAATTACACAAGAAAAAAATTGTATGGAGAGCCATGCTGGTTCATTCCGTCTGACATTGTCACTTGATGCTGCCCTCTATCCCGTTTATGAGGCCACTGTAAATTCTGTCAGTTCCTTTTAGAGTATAGTTCAAGATGGTTGTAATTTTCATAGAGTTGAGATAGAAAAGGTGAATATCTCATTTAATGCCCTCAGGTATTCAAGAGGAACCCTGGAAAATAGCTAAATACTGAAGCTATTATTATGAATAACCCGCCATACTGATCAGTTTACTATTGCAAATCACATATTTTAATTATACAGATAAACTATAAGTAGCAAACTAAACAACCGAAAAATTACGCTTTTCAAGCCATGCGAATATATGATTGATAAATATGAGCAACCATTTCTAAAACCACTAGATGGCGTTCATTCACTGTAAGTCTGGCCAAACTACAGCCTCCCAACGCTTAATCATGAGGTATACGTTTTCAGAGAAGGCAAAAGCTATCCATTATTTGATGATACTTTCCTATAATTTAACTCAATGACAAAACTAGTTGTATTTCCTCATGGCTACTTCTAATAAAATTTTTTAAAAATCAACAAATATTTATTGAATATTTCATTCAAGAATTCTTTTATCTTGAAAAGTAAAGTTGAAAACTAGCTTCCCTATGAAGGTAATGTATTTTTGTTCAGCATGTAGAGAAAATATGCAATATGCATTATGCTACTTAATTTTTATTTTATTTTTTTAATTTCACTGCTACTTCTTATAGAGTTATGCCCCTTCTATTCCTACCTTTACCAAAGATTGGTAAAGAGATAGGCACCTTCATTTTTTTTAAATCTTCATATATTTTAAATAGTAATAATCTTCAGAATTAGTGTTTTTGAAATAGGTGGCTAACTGGCTTTTAAAATGATTCAAAAATAGTTCTTTTTTGCACATACTGTGTGAGACATAGTTTCTAACTGCATTAAGACCTAAAAACCAAAATGGCATTTGTTAAGAAAGTACAAGGAAATCCTAGAGATTACTCATGGAGTAAAATTACTTGAAACGAGAAGATTGCGGGAAGTTACTGGAAACAGGTAAATCAAAGAGTAACTTTTCTGTAAACAACCTATGTTAATAATTATGTTAAACCAAAAACTTACCTGTTCTAATATGTTTTGAAGCCTTTCTATTTCACAGTCTATTACAAATTTCTTCTCTTGTCTCCTGTCCAGTTCTTCTAGCAGTTGTCTATAACTGACATCATTAAAATTTTCCACACATATAGCACTGACATGCCAACCATTTTGTCCTGCTTTTTCCATAATAGCTTGAAGTATCGAGTATCCTGTGGGAAGAAAACAAACAAACAAACAAAAGAATTACTAAAAAATAATATGCTTTGTCTGTTCTTTAAGGACTGAAGGTGCCCTGGAGGTATAGAGCATTGGATGTTGCACTTCTAACCAAGAGATAGGAGGCTCAAACCATCAGTCACTCTGGGTAAAGGAAAGACAATGACCCTCAGGAAAGATGAGGCAGGCTCCTTCAGTGAAGATTTAGTCATGAGTCAGCATTAGCTGGAGGGCAGTGGGTTTGTTTCTTGGTTTTTGTGGGTTACTAATACAGTCAAGAAATCAACATCAAAATTTTTATGTCCTAGCATTTAAGTTGCGTGCATAGAAAAGTAGTAATCTTAGTGGTTATTTCTGGAAATTTGTTTTTTGTTTCATCACTGTTATTTTTTGTTAAGTGCTATCAAGTTGACTGTGACTAATGGGGACCCTATGAACAACTGATCTGAACCTTGTTCTATCCTGTGCTTTAATCATTATCCCTAATATACTTGAGCTCATCGCTGGAGTCACTGTGTAGACCCATCTTGTTGAGAGCAACATAATTCCATTTAGTACTGCGTCAGTGAGGTAGTAGCAATAGTAAGTGCTCAAAATTTTTTCTATTGAAAAAGACTGCGTTGCTCTTAAACACAATTTTAGATGAGATCAATAAAGAGAAAACCCCAACAAATCCAGTGCTACAGGGGGCCCTTAGCAATTTGATAAATATATTTTTAACTGTTAATAAAAAATGCCATATTTTTTATAAAAATAGTTTTAACACATATGAAAACTATAGTACATTCGTACAATGGAATATTACACAACACTTAAAAACAATGAACTTGTAAAACACTGCACAACATGGGTGGGCCTTGAAGACATTATGCTAAGTCAAATATCTCATTCACAAAAGAACAAATACTGCATAACCCAGTTTTATAAAATAAGACTGACATAGAGGGTTATGAGAGAACAGGGAAAGAGTATATTGATAATAAATACTGCACTGGAACAGATTGAGGAAGGATTGTAATGTATAATGTATAATATATACTATAATGTATAATATACAATATAGTGTATATTATACATTATAATTCATATAATGTATGATTAGATATTATATGTATGACAACAATCTGGAACATGCAGTGCATTACGTAGTGGACTGAGGGAGGAAGAAAGGAGAGAGAGGGGCAAAATGTGCAATAATGAATGAATGGAACCCAACCATTCTGTAAACTTTTGTTAAAATCACAATAAAAATAGATTTTATTTCTTCTATTGAGAAAAAAATACTCACTAGACAGAAATAATTTTGGATTACTATTTTTGGCTCTCCCCTGGGGCAAAGTAATGACATTTTAAAAATCCAACTATGGAAGAGAAGATGGAAGAATCAGTACCATAGTTCTTATTCAGGATCCAACATTGTCAAGACTCAGCAAGTGATGTGGACAGGCATTTGTAGTTGTTGTTGTTGGCGTGTATTCTTGAGTTAGAACTGACTCATAGCTGATCCTCCAGGGGATTTTCAGAGGCTATAAATTGCTTTGGAAAAGAGTGCCCATTCTCCTGTGGAGTAGCTGGTGGGTTTGAATCACATGACTTTGAGATTGCAGTGTAGTTTCTTTCCACCAGGCCACCAGAGTTTGCAATCACTTGCTATGTGTCAGAGAGCTTGGCAGTGACTAGGGATGAAAGAAAGAGAACTGATGCCTTTGAGCTGTGGTGTTAGAGTATTAAATATACTATGGACTGATAAGAGAATGAACAGGTTTGTCCTAGAGATGATTAAACCAGGCTGCTCCTTGGAGGCAAGGATTCTGAAGTTTGTCTGGCATGCTTTGGACATGTTGCAAGGAGAGACCACTCCTTGGAGAGGGGCATCATGCTTGGGAGGGTGAAGGGACAGCACAGGAGGGGAGACCCTCTATGAGATGGATTGATTCAGTGACTGGGGTAATGGGAGTAGGTGTGTTGGAGACGGTGTGATTGGCACAGGATAAAGCAGAGTTTAGGGCTGTTGTGTATACGGTGGCTATGAGCCACAGGCGATTCAACGGCACATAACAACACCACCACTATAGGCCACCAGAGCTCCCTGGTATATATAGAAAGAAGGTGTTATTTCCTTGATTGAAGAGTAGTGTAAAGTTGGGGTGAGTTAAATAACCACTAGTGTCAGGAATTGGGTTGTAAGATTTGCTTTCCTACATAGCCCTGCATAGTGATAACAGGAGGCACACAACACCCAAATAAAAAAAAAGAAAGCTGAGATTCAAAGGTGGGATGTACTCAGTTGGGAGTGGAAATATAAACACAAATAGAAACTTGATTTCATGAAGGAACACAAAGTTTAGAATATGCTGTTATAACATGCATGGGAGGAAGAGGTGCCAGTCTATTTCCATATAGATTAAAACTCACTGCTGTCCAGGTAACTAAAGGACCCCATCCTATAGGCCAGCTCTATTCTGTCCTGTGAATTTAGATTACCTGGACAGGTATAGGAGTTGCATGGTATGTTTTATCCTGTATAATCACAATGTGTAAAAAAAGTATCGTGAAACAGAACAGATGACAATTCTGACAGTTATCTTTACAACTTTGCTACAAATGGAAAGCGTACAATTTCTAGCAAAACCAATTTCATTTCCAAGTCTTTCAATATTGTGTAGAAGTAAAAAGTACTGTCTTCTTTTACATCAAAGTGTTTGATATTGATTCTCTTGTGTTTATTGTTGAAGAAGAGGAAGGCAGTTATAAATCTCAATAAACACACTAACTAGAGGAGTCTCTGGTGGTGTAGTCCATAGACAGACGCTCTGCTAATCCAGAGGTCAAACTTCACTGGCATTTGGAATCCACCAGCATCTTTGTGAAAGATGGGCAGTCTGCTTCCGTGCAACACAGCCCTGGAAATCCAGTTACATGTGGGTGCCAACTCAGTGTCAATGAATGAGTGAATGAACCCAATCTCTCAGGAACATTTTTGATACAGCCCCTAAAGGTGGGAATTCTATACTAAGTGACAGTACACAAGAAAAAAATATTAATTTGAAAACTCTTTTCCTAAGCTAGTTTAGATACCAGGACAAAAAGATGAGTGGCCTTTCACAAGTGGAAGGAGAAAGGAACAAAAAGGCCAGTAAGTGTTGTGACAGAGGCAATTATGGAACACCATGGAAATAGATATGCAAATGAAGCCACAGATGTCAGGGAAAGCTCCATGGAATATGTTATATCTGAAATGAGCTTTAAAAATAAGGCAGGATTGGGAAGGGAAAGGAAGAGTAAAAAATGTATTTCATACAGTGTATTATCATGCCCCAAAGCAACAAGGTGAGAGAGCAATACTCCCCTGTCCTTGTCTTCACTGAGACACTCGAATTAAACAATGAGAACAGACATCTGCTCTGGGTGTTTCTTCGACTTCACATAGTGATAGTTGGCTCATGCATTTCTACCGGTTGGCTCCCTTTCTAAGTTCCCCACAGGGACAAGAGCAATCCCTGGATAGATAATTTTAAATTTTAGACAATTAAGAAGATAGAAAAACAAAAAACTTTAAAAAATTAATGTGAAGAATGAAGTAAAGAATTAGATGTTCAAGCTCATAATCATGCAGAAGGCATGTTGTTGTTGTTGTTGTTGTTGTTAAGTGCCATTGAGTTGTAGGCGACTCATAGTGGCTCTATGAATGAAAGTCCTCAACACTTGTGTGACTTTCATAATTTCTCCAGGTTCATAGGGTTTCTGGAGGCAAGCTATTATAGAAGTGGATGCCACTCCTGCTTCCAAGCTTGTTTTAATCAGGGAGCTCTACCAAACACTGTCCGCCATGGGTAACCATTAACATATTTGATACATCAGTGTCACAGTGTTCAGCTTCACAGCAACCACAAGGTACCACTGTACAGAAAGTGGAAACACCAGGGGTATACGACCTAGAAGAATGTTTGACCAAAAAACAGAACAAAACAATGAAAAACAGGCCTGAGAGCTGCTGATTAAAAGTCACCCATCTTTGGCTTCTTTGCAGGAGACATAGACATTCAAATAATCAAATGTAATTAATTTTATAAAGGTGTGGTAATGGTAGTACTCAAGCTGAATTAGTGGCCCAACGGAAGTCCTGGGTAAATTTGCTTGGATAGGTCAAGAATCAAATAACACCTAGGAGGAATAACTAGAGGTGGGTCTTGAAGGTTGACAGAGAACAGGTTGATGCAGGAAGAGTGCCTTTCAGAAGAAAAAGACTTCCATTCTGTTTTTGACCTAGACCTTTCTGCATGTCTCAAGGAAGTAGGGGGAGCTCTGGTGGCCTAGTGGCAAAAAGCTGAGGTGCAATCCCAAATGTACACTATTCAAGGCCACCACTGAAGAGGCCCCATGGAAGAAGAATCGACAATCTCCACCCAGCTGATTAACTGCCTCTGAAAACCCACTGGAGGGTCAGCTATGGGTTGGTTCCAACTCTACGGTACACAACGATGATAACAACAACAACAACAACAACAACAATAAAGGAAGCAGACATATCCCAGCACCATAGATAAGGAATGAGAACAAACTACTGGTGCCTGAGCGTGGCACAGCTATTCAAGTGTTTTGAAACCTTTTTGCTTTCTCAAACTTTGATTTATATTGGTATGTTAAAGGGTAAGAGTAAAGAGATTCACACCCCACAATATTCCTTAGACAACAATTGGTTAGTCAAAGGCCATTATTTCTTTATTAATATTTTTTAACCATACGAAGCAACATCATCATCACCATCAGAAGCAATATATCTTAGTCTTACTTAAGAAGATCTAAAATAGTATGGATTACAACCACCTTTGTACCTGGGGACACCATAAGTATAGAATCACTTCATGACAGCATCTAAACACAATGGCAATCTCTGTCTGAGCTCATTCTATTGCAGATACCTATTTCATAGGTTTATTATTCAAAATGGCTTTCCTGGTCATTGGTTTTGACATGCACTCCTACTGCCCTG